GCGTATCACACCCAGCCAGTCTGACTCTGCAGCACGCGGCCTCGGTCATTTTGATCCACGAAAATTGCGGCGCAGCTGTACACTTGTGCATCACGAGACGAATATGTGAACAGGAAAAGCATCACGAGACGAATATGTGAACAGGAAAAGTAAGCACCGAACTGTCACCGGAACCCGCTCTGCAAAGCGTCGCTTGATCTTGTACACTCAATCTACGAACCGTCGAATCGAGGTGCTGGGTGCTGACCCGCGTCTTCCCATAGTTTCGCGTTCAAATGATCCGCTCGAGACAATAGGCCGCGCAGCATTGGGCACAGCGCCATTCACAGACATTGCACTATCTGGAATCCCGTGCCTCCTAGCCGTGCTGTACGCCGTAAGCTCCATCAATCGAGATTGTGAAAACTGTGGTTTCAAAAAGGCTTTCTCCGGCATTATTATGGAGGATGCGCTTGGATGGACGCGGCACGGGTGCTGCACTCATCACAGTGCCAGTGTGTCGAAGCCAGGCGCTGACAGCCCCAGTCCGGCAATCTGCAACACGGGAAGAAAAACCCTTTAATGACGTATCAGCGGGTGGCCCACGAGTCGAGTGGGTCTCAAACGTGGCGTCGCATCATCTCTAAGAATGCTGGAAAGGCAGAGAATCACGGTATGAGCGGCATCGCTACGCTAGCTCAAACCAACCACAAAGTCCCTCATGGCCCGCCCTGCCATATCAACCATGGTCATGTTGACACGACGTTACCTTCAGCATGATAGTTTATCCACCTGGCGTTCCCTTGAGTTTTGTCAACACCATTCACTAGACGTGGCCAGGCTACAGGTCGTTTCCCGGTCACGCAAGCACCCTAACCAAGCGCGAGGTGAAGCACGATGTGAACCAGTTGCATGAAAAAGAACTCGGTCGGCTTGGTAGCTGCATTATTTGTGGACGACGACGATCCTTTAGCATGGTATCGGCCTGTCTGCGTGTGATGTGTTCTAGATCATGGTCGGCCCATGCGAACGCGAAATTCTCTTTGCGGGCGCGGCGGCACTTTATCCTTGCCCACCAGCGAGCATTAGCCTCACCAGGCGGCTCGCGAGCCCACTTGCTCAACGTCGAGAGCCCCTTGTCCAATCGCCGTCCTCCGTTGAAGCCTCCTGTCTGCTTGGATCAGCAGCCACACTAGCTCGTCGGTGAGCCTCCTTACTGCTGCAAGTTGTGCTCGACGCAATCTTGGATATTTGCCGGAAACAAGTCCTACTGCACACCTCAGGCAAGCACCAGCGGTACAGCATCTCGAACATGCGCGTGTGACGCACGAAGAGGAAATCGGACACCGACACCCCACTCAACATCACTAGGGCTACGACCATGGGGCAAGATGGCATTTCCACATACACGATATGCGCTCGTAGCCGGGGTACGAGTCTGACCAGTCAGACCGCCACTGTGCCAGCTCACAGCCGTTGACTCGCTTATGTGTACAAGCTGCTGGTACATCAACAAGAACAAGCCATGACTCTGCATCACTTTTACCTAGCCAAGACTGCCGCACGAGCATGCCGGACCGTGGGTATCGTGTACACGTCTGTACCTTCGCTTCACCCGAGCGCGGAACTGATGAAACTTCTGTCGGGCGATCCCATGCTAATTGTCTTACGACGCAGCAGCTGAAGCCAGCCTGCATCTCCGCAAAATCTTCTCCACTTTACCAGGGCCCGGCGGTGACTCGGTTTCACGCAGTACGAGCGTTTGTTTTCCTTCTGCCGCTCCACCGCGACCCTTTTGCCTGTCGCACCTCTTTAGGTTCGGTACCTAGCTGCCACCAACCGCCCCAAAGCCAATAAAACAATGCATCCTGAGGAGCGATGGATCCGGCCGTCATCATGAATCAGGGTGTATTGGGGCGCTTGCTGCTGCAACTTGTGTCGACATGGCAGCTAATATAGAGCAAAGTTTCTCGATCAGCACGTCTGCCACATAGAATATCCGAGGTCGGGCCACCTCTAGCATTATGCTTACCGCTTACAGTTACACCACCGATCTCAGTCTTGTAATACTACGCACCAATCCGGCAATTGCACTCCGCTTTAATATTCCAGCAGCACACCCCTAGTCGGAACCCTATATAGCAGTTGCTATTCGTCTGTAAGACACAACTTGGTGCCCGCCAGTCATGCACTCGGCCACTGTTACATCAGGCGATGTGTCAAATGCAATCCAAGGCTCGGTACTACTGCGTGCATCACTGCTGACAAGGGCCGTCCTTTGTGTGGAGGTGACCATCCTTGAGTTGCCAACTGAGACTTACTTACGGAAGCTCCTATGCAAGTAGTTCCCCGTCAGGTGTATGACGGTGCAAACGGGCCCACGGATGCCATGCATGCGCCATGAATTTTTCCACCTCACCAGATCGGCAAATCGCCTATCTTCTTATTCTAGACATGCTCTAGGCTAAATTGTGCTTACGCGGCGATCCCAAAAGTCCACTTCCACCACTGAGCGACGACCCGAAGTACCTTCTTTATTCGCCTACGATTATGCGCAGAAGCAGTCACACCTGCATGGTCCTGATTTGTACGTCTCAGCAAATTGAACGCCCTATTTTTGGGCGCCCAGGACATAGATCGGTTTCTGCGTAGAGTACACGCACGTCGCTTATTGCCCGACTTGCCGCCTTCGCACCTGCCTCCCAGCCTGTCTGATGACCACGGCAGCCCCGGCTTGCCTCTTTGTCGAACACACCGATGTTTTCACGGCGATGCGGCTAGTACGCGCTCCATCAGCGCCCGCATTCGCAACACCACCCCTCTTGGCTACTAGCATTAACAGTAATCCGGTGCCTAGGATGACCTGGAGTTGCCCCAAACAGACCGCTCAAGGACTACCCGCACCACACAACACGGTGGCTTAACTTTCCGGACTGCGTTTCATCGACTTTTTTCCTGCTTCCGCTCTTTCCGATCGCTCTCGCACTCCCACGTGCTGGCTGCGTGACTGCCCAACACTGAATCGTCGGCCGCCAGCGGGTCGCCTGTATGCACACCAAGTGGTACTATCTGCCCTTATAGTTACCCACCCTTTACAGTTCAAGGGTACATGCAGGCGCTATACGCTGTCATACGGATGGTCTCGACTTTGCGGAGGCTACGTTCTCTCAGTTGATCAACAAGTACCACGATGATCCAAGGACGGCTCAGGTTCTCGCTTTCGAATCTCTAGTTGCGTCTTGTTAGCTGCCCACTTATGCTGCGCTGCGTACAGTACCCGTCTCCGCTTGTCCTCCGGCAGATGCATCTTGCAACACGGCCTGGTTCTGCTGCATCAGCACCCTGGGACATTATTGCTATTTACTGTGCCCTCCATGTGCATGTTAAAATGCCAGGTAACAGTTCGGAACCAAGAATTTCCGGATCGTCGCTACGGATGCAACGCCGATAATCGTGCCTTTAAGCGGAAGCTCACGAAGTATCCAACCCGTCTCATTCCGTATTCGCGCTTGCATCCATGCTCTATATCCGAACAAGGTTGGCTGCCTGTTCCTCATACCTAACCTTTACAGCGCCACGGTTCAAGGAAAAAGCCGGACACAAGGCTGTATAACCCGGCGAATCAGCTGATTTCTCACGGTATACTACATCGCCGTAAGCGAGAGCCTAAGATGTTGAACAGAGATCGTCGACATGTTGATCGCGAAGGAGGAAAATGCCGACGTTCGGACGTTGACATCATGTGCCTACTCATGTCTTAACACCACCAAAAATATTCAATAGACTCAACACGATAGACGTTCGTATCAACAACGCCGGTAACCTACACCCACCGATGAGTATACACATACATGTACGCAGCGGGCCGACTGCGCAGCCCAAGTACGAAGACCATGTACATGTTCCTCGCCACATCAATCACGACAGACTCAGAGCATCGCATAGCATAGCCCCTCGGGACAAAAAAGCAGCGCCTCCTCGCCACACATGTCATGCCACACACCCGCATCAACCATCAACTCCCAACCCAACAACGGCCCGGTCAAAACAGGTGTACCAGCTCCCCATGCATACTCGCATTCGCTATCCGGAACCGCTCATGCTCACTCGCTTCGCCCGCGCACAGTGCGGGAGGGTGTCATCGGACTGGGCTGGACTGGGTTCGGTAGGCTGACTGACCAGGCCATGCAGGACTGTCGATCCCATGACGAATAGACGTTGGGCTGGGGTTGGGGTAGTGTCCTGTAGTGTAGTGCGGGGCTTGCTTTGTGCGAACATGTTGACATAAGCGCATGTGTGAGTATGGGCTTTTGGGTTCGAGCGGTGAGTATGTGGGTTCATGTGTAGAACTATCACGATGTGTGTGCGCTGTGTGTGTGCGTATGTGTATGAGCGTTATCGCGGAAGCGGAATGTCTTGGTCACGAAAAGCAATCATGCAGCTTTTTGGTTGCTTGATTCGTTGTGATGTTGGTTAAGGGAAAAGGTAAGCATGCGTCTGCGCATCTAGGTTTTTGAGTCACACAAAAAGCGTACGTTTGATGCGCCGCGTACTTTTGAGCGGATGGACCAAGGAATACAATTTGACCTTGCGACTTAGTTTGCACGTCTTGTATTGCAGCTCATGACATACGTTTTCGCTTCGCACCTGACTTCCGTACACCATCAGTTCTACTGACATTGTTCTCTTTTCTTTTCGTCATCAAGAGTCCCTTGATGTGGTCATGACGCTAAAGTTTGTCAGGAACGGATCAATCTGGGAGACATGAAATGAGATGACATGTCTAAGTGTGGTAATGTCGCCTAAGGATGATTCAGATCGCTTGTATGGCCAAATCATGGCTACAGTAGGGGGGCACCTTAACTTCCAAGCAGTTACCCGCACGCGAGGTAATATGCATCTACTAAGTACTGCTATTGCTGACGTTTGTTCCCTTTGCTCTGGTAAATCACTACACTAATTGTTCTTCTACGCCGTAAATCTCTTGCAGCTATTGCAGCCAACCCCCATGTGATACTCAGCTATATTGCCATACTTAGGTCCACGAAAGGCGCACCCAGTTTCGAAGGCTCGTATCCTTCTACCGAGACCTTGAATGTCAAAATGTAGAAAATGGACCCAAAGTAGCGATCGTCTTTTGGGCAATGGCCGTGGCCAACCATTGAAATCTGTATTGTGCGCGTATGCGTTACAGTTGTAAGTTCTTCTAGTTGGAAAGGGAGTAAGCCTCTCGGTAGCCATTGCGTCTCGGGTGTCGGAATTTGTACACTTCGCGCGGTGAATATAGCCTTCCACAAGGTATATGCTTCCAGTACCTGCGTCAGCACATGTTTTAGGTCGAGCTCTGTCGATAAAACAGTCTGGCTACTTGGGAGATCTAGTATCGGCTTTGTCTTCTTAGATTGGAGGAAGAGCATGTCGCATGCAGCCTTGATTGAAGTAATACTGCTGGGGCGGAGAACATCCCAGATTGAGGAGTAACAGTTGTGCTTGGTAGCGACTTGGTTGAGACGCTGGTCAAGTATGACGTAGGTCATTTCTCTGTCTTTGACAGCACCAAAATTACTTCGAAGGGCGTACCAAAACTGTTGATCACGCGTTTTTGGCAACCCACTTCCTCTGAGGCGCTCAGGATGAATATTGTCTATCCACCCTGGCGGTGGTCCGCAACAGGGATTGACAAGATGCGGAAGGTCAGGAAAAAGTAGGCACAGCTTACACAGTCTATCGACGACTGTTTGAGCCGACGGTCGATCAAGGCGTCTTGTGGCCAGAAGTTCTGGCAGGTAATCGACAATGGGTTTGAGCCTGCCGCTATCAGGATGATCTGACAGTAGTGCGAGCCATGATGATGTTGCCTCTGGGTTGCGTGCAAAACTGGATTGTCCGTTACTAGATTTCTTCCAATAGTCCTTGACTTCGGAGAGAGTGCGTCCGTAAAGTCCCGAAATCATCTCGACCAGAACACATCCAAGAGAGAATATGTCGCTAGCTCGGTTGCGAGGCTCAGAATCCAAAACTTCTGGCGCGGAATACCGAATAGTCCATGCAGATGGCCGTCCAGTGGTTGTCGAAACAGAGTCATCGGAGAAGTCCAAGCTATGTATGGTTAGCACAGTAGTGTCGTGATTCGGGGTTGACTTACCTGAACCCAAAATCGGTAAGCAATATGTTGGTGCCATGAACGAGAACATTCTGCGGCTTCAAATCTTCGTGTCTAAGTCGTATTAGCCCTATCATTTGAGGGCAGTCTATTGGGAGGAGCGGACAAAGCGATCGTGTAGCGCAGCTCGTCCACAGTTCCCTTACTACACTTCAGCGCACTTACCGTATCTTGTTGTCATGGAGATACAATCTAGAAGGCGATTAGCAAAAGCTCCCCCTTATGTCAACTTTGCAGCCAGTCTGTCAGCCACCCATCATCGCTCTTTGAAGCTCGATGATGTGGAAGCGTAGGTTGGCATGTACTTACAGCCCGTTGCAAAGACAGTCAATGCCCTTGTAGAGTATGGCCCATTCCCGGTCTCCGATATGGTTATCAAGGAAGGCAGCAAGATCCATATCGGCCACAGGTGTTGAGAGAATATTGACGGACTCATTGTCGGTATAACTCCCAAGAAAGCGAACACAATGGCGATGATTGACTTGGCGCATGACTCTGACTTCTCGGATGAAAGCAGCCATGATCTGTTGGTGCGCTTTAAGCTGTTTAGGCCTCGCGATCTTCTTCCGTACACACACAATGGGTGGCTCGCGGGACCGGACGGTCACTTCTTCGACAAGGCCCACCATACCTTCGCCTAGCAACCGATTTTCCTCAAACACCTCTTCGTCGTCTTCGAACTCGCAATGGTTAAACATCATACCCGGTATGTGATCTCCCGTAGCACCTCCTGTCCAACGCGCAAGAAACACCCTGAGATGTTCGTCTTGTAATCTTAAGAACTCTGATATATGGTGAGGATCTGTCAAGGATCGCCGAAGCAGTTGTTTTGACAAGGGTAGCCACAGATCGGTGACCCCAAGGCTTTCAAGGGCACTCCGAGCGCTTTCAACAGCCATCTCCGATAGTATACGATTTAGTATCGATCCAGAGTACCACGGTCTGCAGAAGGGGTCTTGTTCACTCCGAGTCAGGTAGCTTTCATTTGCTGACGATGTTCTTGTCAAAACCTCAGCAGCTTTACTGATGGACAGCTCAGATGACGCGTTGTCGATACCCACAGGTTCTACATTGTTGCCATTGCGACTTGACGTAGCCTGTAGATTCGGGGAGCTGGCCACATTCCCGTCGGTATGGCGCCGTGTGTGCAGTGGCAAGCGCCTTTCTTGATTCCGCTCACTAGAAACAGGAACTTCGCTCTCAGCACTGTGTGTCAACTCTGCTACACGAGCTTTTATGCGTGCCACGCGACTTCCAATGGTCTCCTCATATTGGGTTTCTTCATCGCTTTGCTGTGCTCTTTGATCGCTTCGCGTCAGCTCGGCCTTTCGCTTTATCTCGGTCCATCTATCGCGGTAAGTGCGAATGTTTGGCGGCATGGTAGGTTGCTGTCCTTCTCTGGATTGTAGCGATGGAGGCATGGGCCGGTGATGAAGCAGGTCTGCTGCCGCCGTCTCTACCCCACCTTCAGCCTGATAACCGGGGCGCAGCTGAGCTTGACCATCTGTAGTATCTGTTTGGGATCGTTTCAAACCAATAGTTGGGTCAGGCAGTCGCATGGCCCGGCTGAGTCTCTGCTCGGAAGTCTCCATTCTTAGGGCACGTTGTCATGAGGTTCCAAGGCACCAGGGCCCGGCTTTTCTTCCTGAAGGCTGACATCTCTACGAGGCTGAGCTGTGTAACAACGCCACGACAGCTGCAGATAGGATTGGTGAAGATGGTCCGTACGCGCCTGCATAGATAGGCGTCGGAAGGCCCCGCTGTGCACGTGACTGTCGCTTAGACCTTCCCATCTCATCATCTATCCACACGTCGCATGCGACAAGCTCTACAAACCTCCCCGCACCTATCATGGCTGGTTATCAAAGTTTGCCAGTTTTGAGACTGGCGCACATATCTTCGTATCTACTGCCGCCGTGACACAAAGAATCTCGAAACAATGCAACACCACAGAAGCTCTCGCAATGCCTATCCAAGTAACGCGCATGAAAGAGGCCGATATCGACGGCGCAATCGATACCATACAGCAAGCCTTTGCCAATGACCCTTACAATAATTGGGTCTTCCCAGATCGCGAGAAGGTACTTACCTCAGTGCCCGTCTCGCGCGCCTTGCTAACCATCTCAGGTCTCTCTAGTACGAAACCGCGTATCCCTCACCCTACGATGCCGCTGGGGCATCGAACATGGCCTCTTCCATGTCGCACGCGACACCGCGAACCCGTCCAAGATCCTCGGCTGCGCCATGTGGCTCCCCCCGCGACCCGCGTCCGAACCCGAGTCCTGGTCGCTATACCTTTCGTACTGGTATCTCTGGGCCAACCAAATACGCATGAACCTGTGGTACGGACGCGGCGGCCTCAGCACAACGCGGTATTGGATATGGAAGGCGCGACAGGCAGAGGCGCAGTCTGAACTCTGGACGGACCCAAAGGGATACTATTTCTGCAACATCGTTACTGTGTTGCCGGAGTGTCAGGGACAGGGTGTGGGAAGGGCATTGATGGAAGAGGTGCTGGATATGGCTGACAAGGAGGGGAGGATGTGCTATTTGGAGAGTAGCAGGAGTGAGCCGAATATTGCCATCTATGAGAAATTTGGCTTTCGGTTAGCGAGGGAGATGGAGTGTAGGGATGGAGAGGGAGAGAAGGACGCCATCAAGCTATACTGCATGCTGAGGGAGCCAAAAGGCGGGAAGGACCAGGAAGACTCGGAGGCAGGAAACAAGAGTGTTACAGCAGAGACAGCCGGAACAACTCCAGAGATAGGACAATAAGCGGCTTACAGCTAGCTGATTCATGCGCAACGCTATCCAAAGCTCAACTTTAAACCGATATACCAAGCTCCTGTAGATCAATACCCACAGTAGTATCCATATTCAACCCACTATCAAACTCCCCCAGATCCACCAACTGACCATACTCCCACACCTGAGCCCTAACCGACCCCTCCTCCCAGTTTACGCCAGGCCAGTCATCAAACACCGCCTTAGCCGCCGCCTCCTTCCCCTCCTTGTCCACAACATCAACAATCCTCAACGCACTCCCCAAAACGCGTTCTGCAAACCCACCATCCCCCACAGGCTGCGCTTGAATCGCCCGCATCATCGCTCCAATAGTCTTACGCACTCGTTTCCCTGTCCACCACCCCTTCGGTGCTAGATTCGCCAGCGACAACCACCACCCGAACAGAACCAGAGCCCTTGGTTCCTTGTCCCGCATCAACTGGAGATAGTCTGGCATAAGGAAGGACGTCCAGACGAAGATGCGGACGTAGAAGTCAGAGTCTAGCCCATAGTAATACAGAGATAGGAAGATGGGGGAGAGAGCGTGGAAGACGGGGGCAAGGGTTGGTCGATGCCAATCTAGTGTTCCTGACTCCTTTCCTCGGATAACGCTTTGGAGGAGTTGCATCAGGGGCGGTGGAAGAAAAAGGCGGGTTTGCGTAGGGAAATGGATGGGTGTGTATGTTGGTGCTGGATTGGGGTTATCAGGCGTCGTTCCCAGCGGACCGATGGGCGCTTCGATGGCTGCGACGTCGATGATGGGTGGGGGTGGCAGCGTCTTGATTTCCCGGCGTACTAACGGGTACACGGAGAGTTTCTCGATGCCTTGGGCCCAGCGGAGGGAGGCGAGGATACGCAGGCCTTCGCTTAGTTTGAGGAGGCCGAACACCCATTCGAGGTGATCTTCGTCTGTGTCGGTGGCTGGCCCGGGGACGAGCGCGAGGAGAAGACCCCCTGTTACGAGGACGGCTTCGTAGTTTTCGGCTGTGATGTTCTTGAGGGCTTCTTTGTAGGCTGAAAAGGTCTTCTGGCGGTAGAGCAGGGCTTGCTTTTCGACCGTCCTGTTGGGCGTGATGTTGTTGCTGTAGGTTGCTGTCATTCCGAGTAGGGCGTATAAGAGAAATGGGTTGGAGATGCTCAGTTGGGGTATGGTCTCTTTGTGTAGATTCTGGATGATGGCATCGTCGCAGGATACGACGGTGCGGTAGGCGTCTGTTCTGTAGTATTGCAGTAGATGACTGTCGAGGGCTGTGAGTGTACCTATGGATGTATGGCAGTGTGGGCTGAGATATGGTACCAACTGGATGGAAAGATCGTTGAAGTCTACAGGAGTGTTGGATGTAGTTAGTGAAACCTCATCACTCGACGATGGGCCTGCCGACGAAGTGCGAGAGGTCGAGAGGACATCTTGGATATATTCGCAATCCAGATTCCGGAGGTTACAGTATCCACATTCGGGTTGCGCTTCGTCACACTGCACTATATCAATTTTATAATTTCATAAGAGTCTCCTCAGGTCTGGACTTACCTTCACTTTCTTCTTCTTGCAGGTGAAGCATCCGCCCCTCGATTTGCGATGCGGCCTTTTAGTCACGAACGTGGTGGAGCGGCGCGCCATCCCGTTTGATGTCTGTGTATAGCTAGTATGGATTGAGGAATCACATTTTGTGGAAGCATGAGGTGGTGCTGCGTGAGGCGTGCCGCCGGATGTGGCTGAGTGCGCTTGTTCCAAGCTTGAGAGCTAAGATCTGACCTACCTCGAGTCATGCACGTCATAGGGGTCAGAGTGAGCTTTCGCAACGGCCGGCTGTCAAGCTCAAATAAACGTTATTGGCATGTGAAAACATGTTACAGCCTGCTGTGCAAAGTCGAAGGCATTTGGGATTTTTACCAAGACTCACCGAAAAGATGATGTCGTGAGCAGACTGAAGAGAATAGGCAAAATGTATTGCGCTTAGGAAAATAGAGGACGCCCCGGAAAGTTGCTTCAAGCGCGCTGAAAGTACTGACCAAACTGCCAAAACCCATCACTTTCTCTCCACAACGCCGACCTCGCCATCGCTGTCCAGTCGCGATTTCCCCAAGTTTCCCTCAACATATCGACTCGGCTGCAGAACCAGCAACAGCACCAAGACCAAAAACATTGGCACAGCATCGAAGCAATACAACGTCCATTCATGCGCAATCAGATACGCAGCGTTGCCCATGGCATACTCGATGAGTCTGAAGGTGCAGCGGAACAAGATCAGCGCACTGACGCTGTAGAGTATGTATAGCATCTTCTTCCAGTCTGCTGAGGGATGATCGGCTTTCTTGTTCATGCGGATTTGGAAGTCGAAAGAGGCGACGAGGAAGATGATGAAGGTAGCGACTTGGAGTGCGAGGCCCGCGATGACGATCTTCTCGCCTGCGAGGGCGAGGGCGAGTTGCATGGTTCCCATGATGCTGGCGCCTGTTATCTCATTAGCTTACATCCTTTCGGTCCTCATCTTTGTCAAGTTCGCGTACCTAAGCCCTGGATGATCAACGTTGTGACATCCGCGGTGACAAAGATTCTTGTGTACCATCTCGCTGGGATCAGACTGACGTCTTCTCCGCCGGCGAGTCTGATGGTACGGCCAAGCATCATGTATATGGTTGCGGCGAACCACAGAGGACCGACAAGTGTCAGTACACCTTGAGTGATGTATGGGCCCCAGGCTTGATTATCGAAGTGAGAAGCGATGCGTGCGCCGTATCCGCCAACTTCGCCTGCAATCGAGTGTTAGCAAAGTTCAAAGACATTGCGTATGGAGTGCCACTGGTATGTGAGAGATCATCAGGAGGATATAGCGTACATAATGCGCCGATAACAACAAAAACGATAATCCGATTCCTCGACTTGAGAAACTGATACAAATGTAGAAGAGCCATT